TTATTTGAGTGCTTTCCCACTCTTTCAAATGGTCTATTTACCACATCGTAACATATATCAAGCAGCATGCAGAAGCAAGATGCAAATACAACAGACATCAGGATCATTCTGCAGGTATCATGGGGAGTGGAAAAAATACAGGCTACAGAAATAAAGCAAACCTGGGTTCAAAGTTTGGCTTTAGCCCTTTACATATCAAGTTATGTAAGCCTCTAAGCTTCAGTTATAAAATTTACCAATATGAGGCCGGGCACAGTGGCTCACGCCTGTAATCCCAGCACTTTGGTAGGCCGAAGTGGCGAATCGCTTGAGGTCAGAAGTTAGAGACCACTCAACATGGCAAAACCCCGACTCTACTAAAAATACAAAAAAAGAATTAGCTAGGCGTGGTGGCACCTGCCTATAATCCCAGCTACTGGGGAGGCTAAGGCAGGAGAATAACTTGAACCTGGGAGGCGGAGGCTGCAGTGAGCCGAGATCATGCCACCGCACTCCAGCCTGGGCGACAAAAGTGAGACTCAATCTCAAAAAAAAAAGAAAAGAAAGAAAAGAAAAGAAAAAAAAGAGTTTATCAATACATACCTGGAAGTATCAATGTGAGAATCAAAAGACATATGTAAAACGTCTATCATCTGTCTGGCATAGTGTAAGAATTCAAAATAGATTCTCTCTTTGTCCATAATCAAATATAATCTAATCTGACAACACCACAGCATATGTAGAAGGCTGGATTTTAGATTTAGTAAAGGTCAACAGTAACTAGTTTACCCAAAATCACATGATAAAGACTGCTTTTTTTTTTTTTTTTTGATACAGAGTCTTACTCTGTCACCAGGCTGGAGTGCAGTGGCGTGATCTCAGGTCACCGCAACCTCCACATCCTAGGTTCAAGTGATTTTCCTGCCTCAGCCTCCCGAGTAGCTGGGACTACAGATGATGCATGCCACCACGCCCAGCTAATTTTTGTATTTTTAGTAGAGACGGGGTTTCAGCATGTTGGCCAGGATGGTCTCAATCTCTTGACCTCGTGATCTGCCTGCCTCGGCCTCCCAAAGTGCTGGGATTACAGGCGTAAGCCACTGTGCCCAGCCATAAAGACTTCTTTCATAAAATTTTCCCTACAGTATACTTTTTTTTTTTTTGAGACAGAGTCTCTCTTTGACACCCAGGCTGGAGTGCAGTGGTGCAATCTTGGGCCACTGTAACCTCCGCCTCCCGGGTTCAACCAATTCTCTTGCCTCAGCCTCCCGGGTGGCTGGGATTACATGCATGTGCCATGATGCCCAGCTAATTTTTGTATTTTTAGTACAGACAGGGTTTCACCATGTTGGCCAAGCTGGTCTTGAATTCCTGACCTCAAGTGATCCACCCGCCTCAGCCTCCCAAAGTGCCGGGATTACAGGCATGAGCCACCATGCCCAGTCCATATACTATACATTTAGATATGCCCCCTTTTGGATAAAAATGACATTATTATAACATTAGAGGAAAAAAACATACATTTTGAGTTTTTTCATTATAATACTATAGTCTATATCTTTGGAATATCACTCGATTTCCAGATAGAAACATATGAGACTATCACTAAAAATATATTTGTATATAATAGTGTATTTTCTCATTAAACTATTAAGTAATGTAATAAATCCACATGCAATAAGTTCAGCCACTGTTCCTTACCTCCCCAACCACATTTGGCCCGACTTCTTTATTAGTTCACAATAATCCAGTGACACTGCCCTTCTTTGGGCTCTTCAAAACTACCAGACTCTCCAGCATCAAGACATGCAATACCATGCACTACTCTCTAATGCTAATCAGCTAATGTTTAACAGGATCCTACCCTAAATATGTGGCCCTCAGAGATGCCTTCCCTGACCGAAAGCCCTGATAAACTTGGGCTCCACCGTGTAGGGTGATGTGGAGAAGCTTCCTGATGTCAGAGAAGCCTGGGTTCCAATCACTCATCTGACAACATGGAGTTACGCTACAGCACAGATACATGGCTATGCAGTTAGAGAAAAGTTCATACACAATGGATATAATTGCCAATAGTGTGTGTGCATCCGCTGGTTAAAAATATTAGCCAAGGCTTTCAGAAGTGCTTTCCTGTACAATCTCTGCTGAGAGGCTTAGGGAATTGTTAATATATTGCTGATAACATAAGAGAAAATAACTCTCTTAAGGGGGACTCCCAGCATGGCCTGATTCTTCTGATTCTTTTCTTTTTTTTTTTTTTTTTTTTTTTTTTTTTTTTTTTTTTTTTTTTGTGGAGACGGAGTTTCACTCTTGTCACCCAGGCTGGAGTGCAATGGCGCGATCTCAGCTTACTGCAACCTCCACCTCCCGGGTTCAAGCGATTCTCCTGCCTCAGTCTCCTGAGTAGCTGGGATTACAGGAATGCAACAACACATCCGGCTAATTTTGTATTTTTAGTACAGAAGGGGTTTCTGCATGTTGGTCAGGCTGGTCTCGAACTACCAACCTGGGGTGATCCGCCCGCCTCAGCCTCCCAAAGCGCTGGGATTACAGGCATGAGCCACTGTGCCCGGCTGGCCTGATTCTGATTTCAATCAGCTTTTATCTTTAGCTGTCAAACTACACTTTATAGAGATCTTTAGAAGCATAATAATGGCCCAAGGCACACTGTTATTTATATATGTTCACAGTACCCTGTACTCTTCTTCGGAGTTCTTTTTATTTGCATGTAATAAATATTTTCTGCTGTTTGTTTTCCCCACTTAACAGCTATAGGAAGATAAGGACTGTGATTGTCCTGTAGCCTGCTTAATCTCCAGCGCCTACCACCATTCCCACAGTACGGTAGGAAACAGATGCAGTAACTACTTACTAGGTTAATGTGTAATTTAATTAAGGAATGAAAGATGTGTCCATGTGAAAGAAATACAGTATGAGAGTTAAGTTTACTTAATGTAATACATGGAAAGTATATAAAGCAATGTTTGGCACATACCAAGCACTTAATAAATGTTATTTGCTCACCTAGAACAAAAATCATCTGAGTAGGGTAACACAAGAGATAAAAGCTGTTACTGACTGAGAAATTAAGGTTAAGCATATACTGTGTAGTTATCCCTGTTAGACTACAGTGCAATGTACTAAAGGAACTACAGTAATACCCCATCTCAAGTTTTTCATTTAATTCATTTTACCATTTGAATATACAAATGTTTAAATCCCAGATCTTTTCACATATTCCTAATTGAGTTCAACACCCTTAAATAAAGGCATTCACAATAAAGAATGTCTTGGCCATATGAGAGTCTATGGAATTCAGCAATGAGAGAAATGTCCATGCTCTATTCTCTCAATGGATGGAAAGAAAACTGGTGCTCTTGAATATTTTAAGGAAAGGCCAGCAGGGTACAGTGGCTCACACCTGTAATCCCATCACTTTGGGAGGCCAAGATGGCTTGAGTCCAGGAGTTCAAGACCAGCCTGGGCAACATAATGGGACACCATCTCTGCAAAAAATTTAAAAATTAGTCAGGTTTGGTGCCACACACCTGTAGTCCAAGCTATGTGGGAGGCTGAGGTTGGAGAATCTATTGAGCCCAGGAGGCTGCAGTGTGCCATGGAGGCTGCACTCCAGCCTGGAGTGAGACCCTGTCTCAAAGAAAACAAAACAGGCTGGGTGTGGAGGTTCATGCCTATAATCCCAGCACTGGGACTGGATCACAAGGTAAGGAGTTCGAGACCAGCCTGGTCAAGATGGTGAAACCCCGTCTCTACTAAAAATACAAAAATTAATTGGTCACGGTAGCTGGCACCTGTAATCCCAGCTACTTGGGAGGCTGAGGCAGGAGAATCCTTTGAACTTAGGAGGTGGAGGCTGCAGTGAGCTGAGATCGTGCCATTGCACACTCTAGCCTGGGCGACAGAGCAAGACTGTCTTTAAAGAGAGAAAAAAAAAAAAAAGCAAAGGCCACACATTTTTTTCCTAAGACTTGTGAAAATGAAACTAAAATGAAAGTTGTGACAATAACTTTATATTTCAAGAAATTAAAACCCCAACAGTTGCTTTGAAATTAATAAAAAGTAAATCTCATCATGAGGAAATAGAGGCAAAGAGAAATGATTAATTAATAAGTAAAACTAAATAAAAAGAAGACTGCAAAAGACTTGAGGTCACTCTGCCTCAGTTTATTCCAACACTACAGCAAGCAAAATTTCCTGAAGAATTAACTAGAAGAAGTGATTTGGGGAATGAACACCCACTGAAACAAGTTTTTTAAGGCCATCAATCTAATTTGTTTTGAAATGGGGTGTGTTTTAGCACTTTTTTTTCACTTTGTTTAACGTCATTCATATTGTTTTCCCCAAGAGTCTTTTTTTAATCTAACCAACCACATTTTGGCCATCTAAATGCTTGAACTTCCCAACCAAATATCAATGGAGAGGAATTATTATAAATAATTATTTCACTGTCAGAATCTCATGCACATGACAAATCAGATACATTTAAACCTGAGGGAGGCTTTAAGCAACAAATTTTCAAATACATAACTACCTATAATGTTCCAGAAGGAAAAAGAGACCCTCTGCTATGTATACATGGCAGATGAAGGCACTCTAGTGAAATGGACATCTGTGGTCTAGTCTAGTCAACTGTTTTATTTCAAAGAAGAAATATTCCTAAATCACATAAAGGTGCCTATATTAAGCTTGAATAACATAATAAATGTGGAAAGTGTGTTCACCATCTGATCTATGGCTTCTTGCTAAAAACACTGCTCTTTTCCATGTGGCCAAATTGATGTTTAGCCTGAATACATTTGCAATGAACGCTTCCCATTTTACTTTCATAAGCATTCGCTTTCCCTGGTTTCTTTCTAAAATTATTACTTTCAATGGCAAAAACAGCAACTACCTTTTCCCCAACCTAATGACTCGTTTAATCCTATGGGTTAGTGCAGAGTAAAATCCTTTTGGAATATGTAAGGGATGAAATTATGAATATTCTAAGGAATGATACCTACCTCAGGCCCTGTGATGTGCATCAGACCAGAAACAGCTGAGGCAACAGCATCATAACCAGCTCGCTGAGAAATTGGACCTGTCTGACCATACCCTAAAACAACAAAAATAAACATATTCAGCACCACACAGGGTGTGCTAAAACCACTGTACAATATAGTGTGTTAAAAACATTTGTATCCAGAAATCCTGCAGCATTTCGAGACTATTAGATCTATACTATTCCTTGAAGAAGGCAGTAAGAATTCATTATAGTGCTCGCCCTGGCTATTCTATTTTTTGTTTTTTGTTTTTTTGTTTTGTTTTGTTTTGTTTTGAGACAGGGTCTCACTCCCTTCAAGCAGGGTGGAGTGTAGTGGTTCGATCTCGGCTCACTGCAACCTCCACCTCCCGGGTTCAAGTGATTCTCTTTCTTCAGCCTCCCAAGTAGCTAGGATAACAGGTGTGCGCCACCACATCCAGCTAATTTTTGTATTTTTAGTAAAGACAAGGTTTCACCATGTTGGCAAGGCTAGTCTCAAACTCCTGACGTGAAGTGATACACCTGCCTCAGCCTCCCAAAATGCTAGGATTACAGGCGTGAGCCACCGTGCCTGGCTATTCTTAAAAAAAATCAGAGGCTGGATGCGGTGGCTCAAGCCTGTAATCCTAGCACTTTGGGAGGCTGAGGTGGGCGGATCACTTGAGGTCAGGAGTTCCAGACCAGCCTGGTCAACATGGTGAAACCTCGTCTCTACTAAAAATACAAAAATTAGCCGGGTGTGGTGGTATGCGCCTGTAATCCCAGCTACTGGGGAGGCTGAGGCACAAGAATCGCCTGAACCAGGAGGTGGAGGTTGCATTGAGCTGAGACTGCACCACTGCACTCCAGCCTGGGCAACAGAGGGAGACTCCCTTTAAAAAAAAAAAAAAAGAAAGAAAGAAAAAAAAAGGAAATAATTCAAAACCAGACTCACATTCTCACATGCAATAATCAATTAGAGTTCAGTACTGCCTCTCCCCTCTACATAGGGCATAAACCTCTGATTTGTCACAGGGTCCACCACTCTACTCCCATACACCTCAGCCAGGTTTCAGTTACTTCCCTGACTCCAACAGGTATTTGCTACCCTTGTTTTGTACACAGTAATATACAAAGTTAAGCAAAACAGTATCTCCCTGAGTTCTATTTATGTATTTTCTCAAGCAAGCAAAGAAAACCTAAATAATTTTAAAATTTGGACATAAATAAAATAAAACAATTACATCAACTTTTACATCAATTTTTAAGATTACAAAGAGAAGGTAGAAAAGGTGTCACATTTTTTTCTTTTTTTTTTTTTTTTTTTGCCACCAGCAAGAATTAACAGAACACAGGAAAGATTTTCTCCTACTCCCCTCAGTCCTAGTGCTCATTGCTACATCATGACGGTTTTATCAGGCCAGGCACGGTGGCTCACGCCTGTAATCCCAGGACTCAGGGAGGCTGAGGCAGAAGGATCACCTAAGGTCAAGAGTTCGAGACCAGCCTGGCCAACACAATGAAACCCAGTCTGTACTAAAAACACAGAAATTAGCTGTATGTGGTGGTGAGTGCCTGTAATCCCAGCTACTGGGGAGGCTGAGGCAAGAGAATTGCTTAAACCCAGGAGGCAGAGGTTGCAGTTAGCCGAGATTGTACCACCACACTATACCCTGGGCAACAGAGCAAAACTCTGTCTCAAAAAATAATAATAAAAATAAAAATAAATACAGGCTGTATCAGAAGCTACATAAATCTGTCTCCAAATCCTACCTATCAAGCAGAGTGGCCCAATAAAGAGCTTTCCATACACATCAGTTACTTGCTGATATTCCCTGCATATGCTGCTTTAGGAAGGCCATGACAGGGTTGCCTGCAAGCCTTGTTTCTCCAGCCACCTGAAAGACTCTCCCTCAACCTTGTGTAAAAGAGCACCCTTGTTATATATGTTGCCACAGCGCTTATCACAATAAACACAATACCATTATTTGTTAGATTTATTTTGTCTCCTCCCTACTAAAGTGTATACTCCAGAATGTTTTTCTGTTTCATTCACTGCGTATCCCCAGCCTCTAGAATAGTGTTCAATAACATTTATTGAAGGAATGAATGAGTGCAAAAATATTTTATATAAAAATAATTTTTTGGCCGGATGTGGTGGCTCACGCCTATAGTCCCAGCACTTTGAGAGATCACGGCAGGCAGATCACTTGAGGTCAGGAGTTTGAGAACAGCCTGGCCAACAAGGTGAAACCCCATCTCTACTAAAATTACAAAAATTACCCAAGTGTGGTGGTGCACGCCCGTAGTCCCAGCTACTTGGGAGGCTAAGACAGGAGAATCGCTTGAACCCAGGAGGTGGAGGTGGCAGTTAGCCAAGTTTGTGCCACTGCACTCCAGCCTGGGCAACAGAGTGAGAGTCTGTCTCAAAGAATAAAAATAATAATAATAACATTAATAATTTTTTTCAAAAACAAATAGTCTATAAAAAGTAAATAAAGAAAACTACAAAAGTGATAATCACCAATTAATCTACCCAGATGTATTCACCACCAGAAATGATCTTTCTCACAAATAAGCGTATGTAAAACAAACTCCACAGACAAAATTATCACTTAATATTAAGGAATTAAAATAATTCAAGATTATACTTATAATTATTGATGATTTAAAAACAGTGTTAAAACATGTCTCTGCTTATGCTTTATCCTGGAAATTATCAAATAAAAATAGATAGAATATATAATAAACTCATCAGTCAACTTCAATAATTATTCATGGTCAATCTTATTTCCACTATGCCTATTTTTCAATCAGAACTATGACATGAAGAAAAAAACAAAACCATTCTCCTTTTCTTTTTTTTTTGGACACTGGGTCTTACTCTGTCACCCAGACCATAGTGTAGTGGCACCGTCGGGGCACACTGCAACCTCGACTGACTGTGTTCCAGCAATTCTCCCACCTCGGCCTCCCGAGTAGCTGGAACTACAGGCACACACCACTACGCCCAGCTGATTTTTGCATTTTGGGTAGGGATGGGATTTCACTATGTTGCCCAGGCTGGTTTTGAACTCCTGAGCTCAAGCAATCCACCTGCCTCAGTCTCCCAAAGCGCTGGGATTACAGGCATGAACTACGACGCCTTGCCACACAAAACCATACTGAAAAAAACCCAAACATCTTGATTCAGGTAAATTACAGTTTTGTCTCCCAATATCAATAACAAAACTTATAAATTCCTAACTATTACTTTCTCAGGCTTTAGAAAAACAAAAATGGGATATGAAGCAAATAAAGAGAAATAAACTATAAGTCAACATTCTCTGTGCAGAAATAAATTAACGCCAAGTTTTACAGAACGAGTTCCAGGGTAGGCCATGTGCTGCTGTAAACGGCACCCTGGCCCGGGATTCCAGCCTTCAAAGCAATGGTTTTCAAAGCAATGGTTTTCAAACCACAGGTAGTCCTCAGCATAAAACAAGTCTCCAGAAACAGAGAGAAGCTACCACCATCAGCAGGAAGGCCTGTGCACGTGAACCACCTGTTATCTCAGCAGGAAGTCAACAAAAGGAATTAAGTTTCAGTTAACTCTAGGTTCGGAAAATCAGGTGCTTCTGGCCAGGAGCCCAAATCCTTCAAATGGGACAAACCCAGGTCCCTCACCATCAGTGCAACTCTAAACGGACTCTTCTAAATAAAGGCCTGCAGGAAAAATTCTCTTTTTGTTCAGCTTAGAACAAGGGAGAGACACAAATACCCCAATTACTTTAAATTACAACTTGTAAGTATTTCTATTAAAGAGAAAAGGAATAGTTGCTCTCATTGGAAGCAGTAAGGTATAGGGGAAAAGGGGAGTTTTTGGATTAAAAAAAAATCTGGATTCAAATTATAGCTCTGCCAACTATTAAATCTTTGACAATTCATTCAATCTTCCTAAGCCTCAATGTCTTCATCTGTAAAACGGCAATATTCACATTTATCTCACAGATTTCTTATGAGGATTTAATTCAATTAGATAACACAAGCAAAATGAATTTTACATTGAGAGCTAAATATACACAGTTACTAAAGATGCATTAATCAATATATTAATATATTAGCTTACCTTTTCTACAAAATGTTGGGAATAACAAAAAGAAAACTACCCTGAGGTATGTCAAATGATGACAAGAGACATCTAAGCATTGACATTATGTTATTTAATAAACCATGAAAATTAAGATATTTTGTACTTGGAACCTTGCACTTGTTCATAATAGCAAAGAAGCTGACAATAATAATAAACATGGCTGGGTGCAGTGGCTCACGCCTGTAATCCCAGCAGTTTGGGAGGCCGAGGCGGGTAGATCACTAGGTCAGGAGTTCGAGATAAGCCTGGCCAACATGGTATAACCCTGTCTCTACTAAAGATACAAAAAATTAGCCAGGCGTGGTGGCTCATGCCTGTAATCCCAGCTACTTGGGACACTGAGGCAGGAGAATCACTTGAAACTGGGAGGCAGAGGTTGCAGTGAGCTGAGACTGTGCCATTGCACTCCAGCCTAGGCAACAGGGCGAGACTCCGTCTCAATAATAATAATAATAACAATAAACATATATATTCCATAATAGGAGTCAAAAATTATTCCACTTTTTCACCTTATACTTATAACTATTTAAATACTGACTACCAGTATATCAACAAATATTTATGAGAATAAATAAACAAAATTTTAAAGCAGAGAATGGACATCAGAATGGTATTTTACTAAGATTACTCTGTTGGTGTTGTGCAGAATGAAATTATTCATTAATAATTTAATGAAGAGGTAGAAAAAAATGTTAAGCCTGGGATCCAGATAGTTCTTTTAAATTTTATTTTTAGCTTTACAATTCCAAAAACAACTATAATTAAAATATAAATTAAAGAGCAAAAATGTAGGCATGTCAATTCTATTTTATATTCAAGTAAAGAGCTAAGAAAAATCAGGGAAGTTATGGAAAATCAGAGAGGAACACCCAACACACATTTTCTTTCTCTTTCTCCCTCCCTCTCTTCCACTTAGTAATTCACATTCATTTTAAGGAGCAACCTCGCCATCTTGTGGCAT